TCAGTGTCTTCCCCTTATGCCTCTCTGGGCAAGGAACTTCCTAGCTTGGTTGGTCCTGGTGGGTGGGAAGGGGTAGCAGATAAACGGCTCATCCCCATGTGCAGAGGTCAGCGGGAATCCCCTCTGCTTCTAGCTTCCCACTCCGTGGTTTGAAAATACCTTGCTATGGCCGAGAGAGGAAAGACGGGCTCATAATTTGAGAAGTTAGAGGGCTGCTGGCATAACTTTGAATAACCTGTGAGGAATGAGCTAGTAATAAAATTATTCGGACTCCCAAAAATAGATAAAATGAAAAATAAATTTTACTTGCAATACAGAAGGCAAGTGTAAAAAATCTTATAAGCATGAGCCTGTTGGTAGGAATAAGGGGATGGCAACCATTATTTGAAACTAACTTAGCAGCAGGACCTGGTAGCTTCTTCCATATAAATACAACACTAAGGAGACACTAAAACCATAGTGTTCTGGTTACATTAAAATATATTACACTGATTTGTTACAAATCTGTGTATTGCTACATCTTTCTTCACCCTTGTCTAGTCACACGTTCCTCCAGGCATATGTTTAAGCTTTTCTGCCATATAAATTGCTTCATTCTTTTATTAACTGTTGATGAGCAAAGGCCCTTCTTTATTCTCTAAGCTCACCTTGAATGGCTCTCATTTTTCTTAACTTCTTCATTGAGTAGTCTGTTTCCAAACCCAGAAGGTATTTTCTCACTTGCTATGTTTCTTTGGTGACAGAATTCCAGCACAGAGCAATGCTCTGTACAACATACTTTAGCCAGGATGAATCTGACAGGGAAGTTGTATTGTCAAACCGCTATTTGTAATATTTGCCCTTCTCCCATTAATCGTCTTTGTGACAGAGATTTATGCAACATAGCAGCCTAAGTGAGAAAGAACAGCAGAAAGGAAGATATTTTACAGAACAGATTTATTTTTTAAGGCTATTGTTATTTTCATGATAGCTGTATTTTTTTACATTGGTACTTCCTTCAGTTTTCACTTCAAAATTTTATTTTTAGAGTATCTTTGAAAAATGAATTAGTGGGGCCTCTTGTTTTATGCAGAATTACGGGATGCACTGTCTGGAAAAATGCATTAAATGCACTTGATGAAGTACCTGTAAGCTTAAAATGTATCTGAGGAACACTTCGTCTTTCTGTTACACCATCTAGTATGTCATTACCATTAGCCACTGGGTGATAGAAGCTGTGCTTTTTGTTTTGATAGATACCATGTTACCATTTTAACGATGGTAATAAAAGTTTTGACTTAGTGTCCCAGTGTCCCATTGTAGGAAATAGTCCCCACTATGTGTATAATTTACCACCTATAGGAACAACCATAATTATGTTTGTTTAATCTTTTGACAGTTGATCTGCTGTGCATAAGGTTTGTTGTGAGGGAGAGAGGTTAATAACTGAGAAAAAGATGAATAACCGCATCCTGCTGTGTATGTGCAGGCACGTGATGAACAAAGAGAGCAGTAGGGCAAGCACAAAAGAGCCGGTTTGTTTCCAGGATATGTTAGCTGGGCTTGGGTTAAACAATTATTTGCTATGAAAAGTCTTCCCTTAATTATGTTGGCCTCACCTTTAATAATGGTGTTCATAGACAATTGCCAGTTTGTAGGTAAATGGTCTCTGGTGCGTGCGGCCGGCGCTGGGGCTGTTGGCTGGGGTGCAGCACTGCAGGGATGGGGCTGTGCTGCCCACAGATGCAGCCCTGACGCTGCAGGGATGGGCTGTGCTGCCCACAGATGCAGCCCTGACGCTGCAGCCGCAGCTTTTGCAGGGCGAGGAGCTGATAAGCCTGCGGGACTTGACGTGACTCCGCAAGGGGACAGGCCAGTTGCAAGCAGGTTATTGACGTGGGCTCTGCTCTGCTAAATCCAGAAGCTGAGCCACATTTCAGCAGCTGATATTATTTCAGATAAGGAATTCCCACAGTCCTGTTTGAAGATATCTGTGTCTGAAAACCTTGTTCAGATATAGTGACCTTTCCTGAGAGATAGTTGTGTGGCATTAATTATGTTCTTAATAGTATCGTCCTTCCCTCTGATAATGGATACATTTTAGGCATTACAGTAGTTATGTATCTGTCAAAAATACTTAATGCCATAAAATCTTGAAACATGGAACTATAAATTGTGTTAATTGTTTAAATACATGAGAATGGAGTATTTTTTTCCTTCCATGGAATAGATCAGATTTATTGTATATAAATGCGTTAAAAATCATGTGTGATCCATAGGGCACTATTATTATTAGTGTGTGTCGTGTGAAAATAACTTAAAGTTGATTTCTTTATGTATAGAAAGTAGTATATCTTCCATAAAGAGATTGACAGACTGGAAGCACTTTTATTGCAACATTTGGTGTTCCTGCCAGTAAGCTACCATGTCAGGAGTTCTATAGCGAAGGTCTAAACTAAATTACTATAAATGGAGACCTTATGTGGTAGAAACTGAAGTTTACGGGTGAAGATTCAAAGGCATTTGCTAACTTGTGTGATTTATGGGCACAATTACCTTCTGTTTCGTCATGCAACATATATATTTTTTTTTTTCCTCATGCAGTACATGTGTATATATATATCTCTGTAAGATTAACCACCTATCTTTTCTTTCCTTTAATGTTTTACTATGGTTTTATCTCTCATTCCATTTGTGGCTGGTTCTTCTACTTGGTAAAAAAGCTACTTGCCCTTTAGCTGTCAATATTTCTTCCAAAACAGAGGCAAGATCCAGTTGAGATCCAGAGAACATCAATACTGTTATATCAGAAAATGGATACATCCCACAATGGTATAGATTCAGCAGAACCCTTCAGCAGAAGCAGGATTTTTTAATATGCACTTTCCCGTTTGTAAGAGCGTACAGGCAGTGAAGGCTCTGACTCAGAGCATTTACTTTCATACTAAATTGAAAGAGAATGTCACAATATCAAAATTACCCTGTCTTCCAAACTCTAAAAAATATTAAAGATGGTTTCGGTTTGAAACTGTGGCATATACAAAAATGAACAGTAAATTAAAATAATATCTAATATCATGCAAAATTGACACACCCCTATCAACTAGTCTCTTCTAACAAAATAAAGCTCTTCCCCTACTAAGAGCTTCCTATAAATATTTTTGATAGATTGTGTTGAGATGAGATTTGCTTAAACTGGGAAGTTTAAACGTGCCTAATGTAACAGAATTTGATTCCTCTAGACATGTACCTCCTAGACAATTTTTGGAACATCCTTCACTCAGAGCATGTAAGTGAATATAGGACCCGAGCTTATTTATCTGGTTTATATTTATAATCTAACATACCTGCAGCTTATCTGAAGACATGCACGTTACTTATATAATAAACTAGGCTTTTCGCTGCTTATCAGTATTTACGGAAAATTAATACTATTTCAATGTTTTACTGAGCCCCAAATAGTTTTATGATCATTTCAGTAGGGCACAGTGTTTGTAATTTTTTTACAGGTCTGTATTTTCTAATATGCTGGGTTTTCATACGGGAGGTAGATTTTGCTGGTTTTTGGACTGAATTACTTTATGTAAAAGTTTGGAGTTTTTACATTTGTGGTGATTCACATTTCACTACATCATAATATAAGAGAATAAATACGTTTTAGCTGTGACAATGAACCAGCCTGTTACGAAACCAAGGCTGAAAGCCAAGCGCTTCCAGTCTCCAGAGCTGGTGCAGTTTGAGACGAGCAGTGAACATCACGGTGCCCTTACTGCTTTTGTAGAATGGCTCCAAGTCTTTCAAGAGTGGTTAGGCACCTTCTAAATCATTTTACTGCCTGAATTCTGGCAGTCAGGTCTGTCATTCACACCTGCCCCATTGTTACCTGTAAACTGCAAAGCAATGGCTTACTGTATACATTCTCAACATGCTAGTGCCATTTCTCAATAAATCAAATAAATCAGGCTGCTCATCTTAAAAATCAAGGAGCATCTCTCCTCTTTCTCTAACATTTGTGTCTCTTTCTATTTTCCTCTAAAGGCTCACCATTGTTAGCAGTGAGAAACAATAGAGTTTTGTTGGCAGGAGTAGAAAGTTTGTAGAAAAAAGAACCTTTAACAGTTGAAATTTGGCATTTGTTTTTAAAAACATTCATTGTATATGTTACTGCATAAGAAAACTGAGCATAAGCATGAGAGGAATCAGAGAAGAATTAGAAAAGATTAGAATTAATTTTTTGCCCAAATTCTACACATCAGAATGTACATATATACACACAGACACACGTGTTCAGCAGATGGCAGCAGAAGGAATGGATGAAGGTAAGGAAAAAGGAAGTAGATCTGATTGATAATCAGCATTATTCCTGTGTTATTCTGTGATGACGATGGCATGAATTTCTGACACAGCCTGAAACACTACGCACACTGCCTTTATGGTTTTTCTAACAATAATTTCTCACATTTTAGATTAGGAGAGATAGGAATCTTTTCTGCCAAAGTGATCCAATGCTTTAAGGATGCGGTTACAGCCCTCTAGAGCTAAGCCTTGCTGACAGAGTAGTAACAGCATAGAGAGACCTGTGAGAGACGGGGTCTGCTGTTCTCCTCACTGCTGTCATACGCAGCCTTGCTTTGTTCGCAGGGTTTTGAAGAGGAGCAAGTTGGTGGATCACTGTCTTTGAGGTGACACTGTGAAAGAAGTTCCTTTTCCTGGGATTTATTTACTTCCTTGGTAAAATGATAAAATATTTTTATAACGCTATGGGAAAACACAACTGTCCTGGCCTAAAATTTCTGTTGTAAAGTAGACAATAGAGTTGATGATTGTAGCAGTTTGCAATGGCTTCTAGGTTTGTGTATATGGTATATGTGTCTAATGTTATCTTCTCATTTAGACTGCAAATCTCAGAACTTTAGTGTGTACATATTCAGGAATTGTTAAGGGAAATGGAACTACACAAGTGGCAAATCTGCTCTATGGCTACATGTTATCATTCATACTGTAATCTGCATCTGTTCCAGCTTCTTCAATCCTGAAGAGGGAGAAGCGGAAGAGAACAAAAAATGTGCATTTTAACTGTGTTACGGTGTATTACTTCACGAGAAGACAAGGGTTCACCAGCGTTCCCAGCCAAGGGGGCAGCACGCTGGGAATGTCGACTCGCCACAACAGCGTGCGCCAGTACACGCTCGGGGAGTTTGCGATGGAACAGGAGAGGCTTCACCGAGAGATGTTAAGAGAGCATCTACGGGAGGAAAAACTCAATTCTCTAAAACTAAAGGTAAAATTTGTTCAAGACTTTGATCCCTGCCTTATTTTTATTTAAATGAGCAGTGTCAGAGCTATACGGGCCCAATGTGTGTTAAACATTTCTTTCTATCAACTCCATTTTCAATCAAAACAATGGCTGCTTTTTTTTTTTTTAATTTTATTTTACTGAAGGCATGTTTGTTCGATATTACCAAGTACTGCTGTAGCTTTTATTGATGTATACTTCAAAGTGCTTTACAGGGAGGTTGGTCTTTACTCCCTGTTTTCTACAGAGAGGAAAGCAAAGGCAGAGGGTGATGTAAAGTGGCCTTGAACAGGGTGTCCACCAGAAGTCTGGAAGTGCCAGGAGGAGAATGAGTCTCCTGAGCCCTTGCACAGTGCCCTCTTAGACAAGGGAACGGTAACATCGGAAATACAGAAAGTGAAGCAACTTATTTTCTTTGCCGACTTGAGCAGATTTGGCAAAAAGTAAGAAACAGTAATACTAAAAATGTTTTCTTTCTTCAGTGTACCCGTTTATATGATTGTGTGTCTTTAATAATTCACTAAAGGATGTCTGTGTTAAAGAAGAAATATGTCAGACAAATTAACCAGCTCTATCGTTTAGCTTGTCAGAACAAATCCTGGCGGCAGTTTTGAAGCTGTCTTTTTAAATATAGCATAGGAGAGGAAAGAAACTGTCGAGTAGAGGAGAGTAGAGAAGGGGGTTGTGTTCTTGGAAGTGTCCCTTCTGCCTCTTTAAAACTGGTGGCAAAACTTGTGGTTTTGTTACGGTTTTGTAGTGGATGAAAGGCTTCCTGTGCAATGGCTTGTGGTATATGTATTTTGGGCTCTTTTTCAGATGAATTCTCTGAGTAAAATTGAACAATATTTAGACGTGTAACCGAACTGCTGTTCTCCGTAGAACCTTCTTTTGTGATATTGTATCTCTGTTCCAGATAGTACTAACAGTTGTCCAGAGCAAACTGGCACCCTATAAGTAAAAGAAATGCCTTTTAGCATTTTTCCCATAGAATGAACTATGTTCATGAGTTCTGTGTCTGAACTCCTGAAGAATTATATGTGACCCTTATTATTGTAATTATTTTTTTCAGTCTCTTAGCTGTTTTTTATTTTAATAGCTAGATAGATTCTTTATTAGTTCATGAAGTCTGAACTGTCATAATGAAAACAAACAAACATAAAACCACTCAGGAAGAAGGCATATTAAAGACAGATATTTGGTTGGAAACCAAAGCCTTAGAGCATTACTGACATCACTAGATGGAGATTATACCTCTAAACATGTCACATCACAGGATCTTCAGATCATCAAGTGTGAATTGAGCTGTGTCAGTGTAATCAATGACTCTGTGGAGATCCCTTGGCTGACTTCCAGGAATCAGCTCAAAGAGAGGAATCCCCAGTGGAGCAAGCGAAGAATAGTAAAGCATGCAAATACTTCACTTTCCCTTGTCTTTTCTATAGCTAGAAAGTAAGTCAAGAAAAATCACAGATCCCGTTTAGGCCTTTTAGCCTTCATTTGTATGGAGCAGAGCTTGGCTCTTCGTGCTTTTATAATTTGCCTCTTGGCTGGGATGGATCTCCTTTCTTCATTAACTAACTTAATTCACTCCAGCCCACTCTTTTTTTGGGATATAGACTACTTTCTGCTCCTCTTCCAAATACAGCATGTTCTTCCATCTCCCCAGTCACTTGTTTGAACGGACAATAATCTTTACTGTGACTGTTAAGTTCCAGCAAAATCTCTTCATAAGCATTCAGTGAGTAATGAAAGCCTGATTTGCATTTCTCCCTCTGTTTTAATTTTGTTTCCTTTACCAAATGGAAAAGTCCTTTGCCTTACACTTAATTCAGCAGAGGTGGGATTCTTTCTTCATTAATTCTCAGCAGTTGATATGGGAATAGTTTACTAGCATGTTCTGAGACTGGTAACCTGACTCCAAAGTTTCAATTCAAATATTAAGAAATTCTGGTTAGGACTTCAGAATCTTGAGAGTGGTGTAAAAACAGTAACGTCTTACTAGTGTTAAATCTTTTACTAGACTGAAATATTTCTCTTCGCTCTAGAGCATGTATAAAAACATAGGGAACAGAAAGCTTCCTTTTTTAGCTAGTTCATTAAACTCAAACATAGTTGCATTCTTGATTATACACTTGGGGCAAAAAAATAAAATTAAAGCACTTTGTCTCCCAAAAGCAAATCCAGGACTCACTGAATTAGTGAAGAATCACTGTAGAGCATTGAGCATGTTTTATTTGGTTAAGACAACTGGGTGTTGCTTATTTCCCATTATAGAGATGGAAGAGCTGCTTGGTCATTCATATAGTTTCTAAATGAACACAAAAAGGAGACGCTGTAGAGCTTTAAGGTGACAGCGTCAGCAATTACGATATTTAATGAAAATGTGCTAATCAGGATTTGCATCAAAATTACTGTGCATCTGCGTGAAAAAATGAGGAAAATGAGAAAATGAAGTAGGGGAAAGTTTGCTCAAAAAGGGTGTTCTGTTTGAAAACCATTATGCAAACAGAAAGTAACATTTTCAGTGTGGCTTTTAATTTCAGTTTCCCTATTTTTTAAAATTTTTTGCATTGGATTAAAATATGCAAGTCTGTAGGTAGAATGCATTCTGTGTTGCAGAATTTGTTAAAAAAATGAGAAATACAAGAATTTATTGGAATTGAGTCTTTATAGTATTAGGTACCATTTATTATTTTACTTGCTAAAAGTGAAGAGCCAAAACTTCTCTTAATTAAAAGCACATAAAGACTATACAATTATCTTCTAGTCACTTTAGCCGTTTAGCACCAGCACTTTGGTGTAAACACTGCTGACAGTGCCGTAAACACTCGTTAGCAGCAGAGTGTGAAAACTCTAATGGCAATCTGGACATAAAAGCCATCTTTTCAAGATGAAAGGTACAAGGTAGGTTTTATTTTAATATGTTGTCATTTGAGAAAACATTATGAGTAAGCACCATAAATAGGCTGGAAGAGTGACATTGCTCACTCATAATGTCTCCTCAAATTAAGTTCTATTAGAATGATTAGCATGACCCTAGTGACGTTAAGGCTCCCAGGTCTGTGGACGCAGTTGGTTTCCTTTGTGAAATTTTAAGCAATTGCTAGTGCAGGCAGAAGTGTCTAACCTGAATTTTTCACATTTTACAGAGTTGAAGTGAATTTCACCCAAAGGCTTCATGTATTCATTGGCCCTTGCCTTGTTCCATTGTTATGACATTAACCTTTAGCTTTATGAGAGAAATTTTACCCATCTACATACCAAGTTTAATTCAGATGAGCAATATTATGACAATCAAGAGAACTTAATGTTCCCCTGAAGTTCTGTATTGCAAAATGTATTTGATGGCTCTTGATAATCTTCCTCCCTTTGTAGCTACCCAATTACTTGTCTGAGAAATGTTGGAATCTTTCATTTCCTTAATTCATTTGTTCTTTGTGTGCCAAAATTGAGAAAAATATCAGAGGAAACAGCAAGTCATGCAGCAAAGGAGTTAGGAGCTAAGGTGCCAGGCGATGCCCAGGTGCTGGGCTCCCCAGCCTGCTGGATGCCTGCAGTATTCAGCACGTGACCAGAGCCCCTTCCTTAGTGCCCTACCGCTGTGCAGCAAATAAATTAAGATTTGCAGGAGGAGAAATACCTGCCAGGGTTCGTATGGTTCTATAGGAACCTTTGTAAGATGAGCATTTACAGCCTTCACCTCATGGGTAAGAGCCCTGAAACTTAATTTTTATTAAATAGTAATTTAATAAAATACTAAAATATTTACAGGAGCAGGGATTAGAATTCTCCCCCTTCCCCAATTTCAAACTTAAATTCTGAAAGGCAGGTAAATAACAGGGATCTGCTTAAGGAGTGCTTTAAGTCTTGTGTATTTAAAGCTAGAGAAATCAGAATTCTTAGGTAGGTCATTCTCCTGTTATTTTTCAAAAAAAAAAAAAAAAAAAGGAAACAAAGCCCAAATCTTTTTTTTTTTTTCCCCCAGCATGGAAGGGATGCGGGAGGGGGGGGGGAAAAGTTTC